TGTTGCGGGGAAGCAAGCCAATGAGGGAAAGATAGCCTGTGGTTAGTCACTTTCTTTCCTTTACATAATATTTCATTTTTAAGTAGGTAAATATTGAGGTTGCGGGAATCTTAAAAGTAAAACTCGAGAACGTATTTCTGTACATTAAAAATTGTTTGGTTGCTGTCTTAAAGGATAACCAATCTTTGTTGTATATCGGTGATCATAATTTATTCTCCAATCGCCTCTGTCATTTATATTACGATAATGGCAAAAATGCGGGTAAAGGACAATCATCCCTCAATCCTAACCAAGTCATGATAACTTTGTCTATTCTACAGTTGATTGCCCAGTTGGTCAGTACAGAAGCTTAGAAATGACATCATGTCAGCTGTGTTCAGAGAATTATATCAGTACAACAGTTGGAGCTGCAACTTGTACACAGTGTGAGGCAGGGGAGGAAGCTAATGATGGGCGGACTGATTGTGGTGAGTCTCCGTTACCATTTTCATCAGTATAATTTATCGTTACAACGGCAAAAAACTTGCAAAGATTGTTTCACCGTTTAGGAACCGAGATCATGGTATAAAGATAACATCATTGTGCCCCTGTAAAACTATTAATTACCCGGCATTTAGTGATCCTATAAAACAGTAACTAAGAAAGGGCCATGCCTCCCCACTAAACTAACTTTATATCAGTTATGTGTGAGGCTGGAACCTACAAAGCTGACTTAATGACCACCTGTGAGTCTTGTGTAGATAATCACGTGAGTTCCGGAGAGGGAACTACTTCGTGTGCAGCATGTGGGGAGGGACATGTTTCAAACCAAGACAAGACACAGTGTGGTCAGTTATCTTCCTTATCTACTGTATATTTCTGAATACCTGTATAAATTCTACCAACAACTACTGCTAACCTAATTAACGACTGTTCTTTACTATCAGTGACTTCCACCAACATTTTATTTACCTACTGTTTTTACCGTTAGATGTATGCACAGTTGGTCACTACAGGGGCTCTGGTGATCCAACCTGTCTGTCCTGTCCAGAGAATCACATCAGTGCAACAGTTGGAGCTGCAACTTGTACACAGTGTGTGGCAGGGAAGGAAGCAAACCCAGCTAAATCTCTCTGTGGTCAGTTATTTTCTCACATTTTACCATTGCACATTTTCTATAATAGTAGTTAAGTGAGCCCCTTTCCTCACATACAAGGGATACCAATGACCACTAACAGCAGCCTGTCCTACATGGGAGATCTTAGGCTAAAGAGCTGAATATGCGTGAGTCAGAGACTAATCTGCGTTTTAAAGATAAGGTCTACATGTTACTAGACTTGGTAGTCTGGGTCTTAGGACACATGAATTCTAAACTTCCTAATGAGTAGCTCTTATTCTACTGGTATGTTTAAGGAAAACAGTTCTAGTTGGTGAGTACCACCTGTCTGCCCTGACAATGACTAGCTCTCATTTTCGTTTAATGAAAACGTGCCAGGCCCCATTAAAGTGGAGCTCCTAAATATGTAATCTAAAAATTGAATTTCTCCTCAGTTGATTGTCCAGTTGGTCACTACAGAAGCTCTGAAATGTCATCTTGTCAGCTGTGTGCAGAGAATCACATCAGTACAACAGTTGGAGCTGTAACTTGTACACAGTGTGAGGCAGGGGAGGAAGCTAACCCATACAGATCTTTCTGTGGTTAGTCTTAATATTATGATTGGTAGGGTATAATAAGCTGTGTAAGTCATATCCGCACTATGTTCAGATGATTTGATTATAATCATATCTAATTATAAATTCTCCCAGATCCCTGCTCAGTGGGTCACTACAGAGACTCTACAATGATAACCTGCCAGACCTGCCCAGAACACCAAGTCAGTACATCACCAGGGGCTTCTCTCTGTACCACGTGTAAAGAGGGCGAGGTTGCAAACTTACAGAAAACAAACTGTGGTCAGTCCGGTATTTTTGTGAATTTTTATGAAGATGTGAACTGTTAATAATCACTACCTAGCAATTCGCAACATGTTTTGTGAAACAACGCATATATAAGCAGTACGTTCCTAAGACTTATAATTTTCAAATCTCCCAGAACCATGCCCAGTTGGTCAGTACAAAAACGAGAGTATGTTTGCCTGTCAGTCCTGTACAGGTAATCACATCAGCACAACAGCTGGAGCTGCAACTTGTACTCAGTGTGGAGAAGGGAAAGTGGCAAACTCTGCGAGATCTTTTTGTGGTGAGTCATAATCTTATTTTTTAAGAGTCTCTGTATGTGCTAATCTGTCCCTATTCAATGAACAACCCAGAGTACAATTCCTCACTCCTCAGTTTCCTGTCCAGCTGGAAGCTACAGATCAGGAAGGATGGCAGATTGCCAGCCTTGTAATGTGAACAAAGTTAGTGAGGGTGAGGGAGCCGCTTCTTGTACAGCTTGTGGACCTGGGACTGAGTCAAACTCAGAACATACTTTGTGTGGTAAGTCTGAGATACTGACTAGGGACTCATTAATAATTAATTAATTGTTAATTAATTAATTAATAAATAATTAGTTCTCTTAATAGGGAGGGGTAATACTGTCTGTATTTTGGGTACAAATCATTTCATTTAAATGGCTCATTGAGTAGGAAATACAATCCTACGACAAAGATGTCTTAGGGTGCCTGAAACTTAGGTTATTTGTAGTATATATATAGGCTAAATGGGTTCAATTCTGGTATGACAAGGTGTGATGAGTGTGAAGGTAACAGTGTGAGCACTACCTCTGCTGCTACCTAGCAATTCGCAACATGTTTTGTGAAACAACGCATATATAACGAACGTTCCTAAGACTTATAATTTTCAAACCTCCCAGGACCATGTCCAGTTGGTCAGTACAAAGACGAGAGTATGTTTGCCTGTCAGCAATGTACAAGTAATCACATCTGTACAACACCTGGAGCTGCAACTTGTACTCAGTGTGGAGAAGGGAAAGTAGCAAACTCTGCGAGATCTCATTGTGGTGAGTCATAATCTTATTTTTTAAAGTATCTCTGTATGTGCTCTAGCTCTCTGTATGTGCTAATCTGTCCCTATTCAATGAACAACCCAGAGTACAATTCCTCACTCCTCAGTTTCCTGTCCAGCTGGAAGCTACAGATCAGGAAGGATGGCAGATTGCCAGCCTTGTTATGTGAACACAGTTAGTGAGGCTGAGGGAGCCACTTCTTGTACAGCTTGTGGACCTGGGACTGAGTCAAATATAGAGCATACTTTGTGTGGTAAGTCTGAGATACTGACTAGGGACTCATTAATAATTAGTTCTTTTAATAGGGAGGGCTAATATTACTGTCTGTATTTTGGGTACAAATAATTTCATTTAAATGGCTCATTGAGTAGGAAATGCAATCCTACGACAAAGATGTCTTAGGGTGCCTGAAACTTAGGTTATTTGTAGGCTTAATGGGTTCAATTAAATTCGGCTGACTAAGAAAAACAAAAAACCCTCGTCTTATGACTTGAATCCGTGTAAAGTAATGTAAGAAACCTCAGTTAACTGTAAGCTGGGACATTACAAAGATTCTAGTATGACAAGTTGTGATGAGTGTGAAGGTAACAGTGTGAGCACTACCTCTGCTGCTACCCAATGTGAAGCCTGTGTGGGTGGAAAAGACGCAACACCCGACAAAACTAAGTGCTGTAAGTTATCTCTGATAGTTTAGTAGTACAGTGTATAGTGTATACTCAGTATAGGAATTAGTAAGATAGTCGGATGTTTTAACATGACCGACACATACAGAGCATCTCAGCATCTTAAACATGGTCTAGATGAAATGAACTCCCAATCGATTAAATGTACATTTGTTTCAGTGAACTACTGTCTACTCCCGGCCACCCCTAACTCCATACTCAAGTCTGGAATTGTAATTGAGGGAGACTCCAGCAAAGTTAGCTGTGATGCTGGTCACGTGAGGTTTGGAGAGAAGACTATGGAGTGTGTTAGTAATGGCCAGTTTGAGGGTAATAGTATTTGCAAACTCCTGGGTAAGTGGATGTAATTTAGAGTAGACGCTGTGTGGTTGTTTAATTGATCTGTCTAGGGAGAGAGTACAATTTACAACCAGATTAGCAGCATCAGTATGTTTGAAATAGATGTTCAAAATAATGTATATAACAAAATATCCGCTGAGCAGTTTTAGGACAGTGTTTATGTTAGAGTAGAAATAAAACAGGTTTAAATATAGGTATCATTATGGTAAATAAGTACCAGGTACCTATTATTATTGTTTCTATCAATAAGAGAACGCTTTGTTGTTTGGAGAAATTATGACGGACAAGTAAGTTGTCTAAAGAGAGAAGATTCAAGACAACTGCTGGAAGATAAGGTAGTGTACGTTTCAGTAAAACTTAAAACAAACGGGCGTATGATATAGTGATAGATTCACAGAGGTGATTCTAATGTTGTTATGTTTGATAAAATAACTTGCTTTCTCATATATTGCAACACTCCTTGCAAAGAGCTAATCATGCAACAGTGAACCTAGCACTCCAGATTAATATATATCAGGCAAAATAACACCCAGTCGGACAAATTTGCATATAGAAAATTCTCTTCATTTGCACTCTGAAATATTTATCTGTTTGGAGATAAACTGGAATGTGAAGCACAGGGTTTTACAGTGACGGTTAACTTCCGGAACGCGCGGCTTTTAAACGTATTGTGCGCGCCAAAATAACTTTGCTTTTTATTGACTTTTGTCATGCGTCTTTACGGAAACATAGCTCTCATTCAATTTAAGGTGCGGCGCGAGGGCTGGTTTGGACAAATTGCTAGCAGGACTTTTGATGTTAACATATTAATCAACAGTATATTGGTCCATATGTCAAAGTACAAAAAACTTGGCCCGGTGTTTATATCACATAACATCTTATCTTTCTTTAATATAACACATCTTATTTAGGAGAATGCTCATGCTTCTAGCGAGTATCTAAATAAGATAAAGCAAACAGATTAGTAAACGACTGAGAAACAAAACTCTTACTTCAAGTGGACGCTGGATTCCATCGTAAATACTGTTCATTATTCCTGCAATTAATTTTATTTACACCTTATTCATGTTATGAATAAACTCTGCATGGATAAAAGAAACAATTACATTTCAATGATTAAATTAATGAACCATTGAACTTAATAAGTCTATATTTACCAGGTCCCAACTCAACAGACAGAGGTTTTCCAGTACGTTTAACAGGATCACCGTACGACACGCCACTAGTTTCTTCGTACACCTATCAGGAGACAGAGTTGAAGTATTGTGAACAACAAGGGATGAAACTGATTTTGTTTTCTTATTTCTAATTTTGCGAAAAAACTGTTAGTTTTGGGAATAGTTTTCGTTCAAGTTTTTAAAACAAACCTAGAATTGTTTATGAAAATTTGTTATAGGGACAAGAAATACACAATTTGTTGAAGCACAGTTTACTTTTATTTAATAACTTGTTTGATTCTATATTCAATGTTTATCTGACTGTTTCTATCAATTTAACTATCAATTTATGAAGAAATGATAAGAATTTTAACAAGAACAAAAACAGGAATTTAGAAAATGAGTCTACTAAAAATGAACAAATAACTGTGTAATAATAATAATAGTAGTAGTGGATATATGTAAATAGAACATGTTAAGTTGTTAACCTGAATAGTAGCGAAACCACCTTCAAGTCTAATAATCTCTCCAACTAACTGGTCGTGTCCAACACGAACTAGCTCGTACATAGCAGCACCAGCCATGTGTTGGGCTGTGACCACTGGGAGAGTATCATCCAATTAGTCAATTAGTTAATTTGTCGAATAGCTGATTAATTAATTAGTTTATTGGTGACTGATAACTGTTTTAGTAACGGGTCAAAGGCACAACTTTACCTGCTAATATAATTATATATTTATAATTACTAATTAAATTATAATTACTAATTAAATAGTAAGACATGCAAAACATCGGGTTATTATTTCTCAGTTTCAGTACAAACTGTACGATCAAAATTAAACTATCTAAACAGTTAAGTTCTAGTTTAAAACGTTTCTCTAGTATTATTTGCAGTAAACCACTTAGCATTTGTATCGTTTTTAGCTTGTTATCAGCAGTCGTTATCTGCAAGTGTTACACACCACGCTAACCTGATGAATTTCTCTGTGGACTTACTACACACAGTGGAAAAGGATAGGCAATCGGAGATTGGAAAGCTCATGAAAGCCGTGAATGTCTCGTCCTTCTCTGATATCAACCAGGGTGTTCTACAAAAACTGCTTAAGGGTCCGCTTGTAAATTTCCTCAGCAGCATAGTAAATTTAATGGACAGCAATATGAAGCTATGCAGGTCTGCAGCCAGCAAGATAGATCAGATGAAAACAGAACAGATAGACATGCAAAAGCAGCTGATAAACAGACAGCAGAATCAGATCGAATCGGTGCAGAAAACTGTAAAGAATGAAATAAAAAGTTGGGTAGATGTCGTCAAGAAGAACAGCGTCCAAAACAATCAGCTGACAACAAAAACTGTGAAAGAAGCCGTGCGATCAGTGAATAAAGAAGAAGAAAGATCGAGAAACTTGATTATCTACGGTTTGAAGGAGACGGAAGAAGGGGAGTGGGAGGACGTATTAGAGATGGACCCTCTCCCGGACTTTTTCAAGTCAGTTTTTGCTGAGGCCGGCTGTCATTTTCCTGACACGGATGAGATATGCAGGATTGGGAAGAAAGTTCCTGAGAAAACGCGACCAGTCAAAGTTCAGTTACAAAGCTCTAGCGATGTGGATATTATACTAAGGAATGCACACAAACTTAAAACAAATGATGATTTTAAGTCAGTTTATCTTGCACCGGATAGGACAAGGGAGCAGAGAATGCTACACAGTGGACTTGTCAAACAGATGAAAGAACTAATAAAGCAGGACAATAGCAAGCGTTATTTTATCAGAGACAATAAAGTTAATTGTGTTAGTGAGAGCTAGAGCCTTATCTACAAGTACACTGTCTTGTTATCAGAATTTATGAACTTTAATATGTTATTTTCACTTTCGTTATCTACGTGGTGATACAGTGTAGTTTTTACATAGTATGCATTTTAATTTGGTGTAAGTGGTGGCCGTTGTATTCTATAAACCGTTTTTAACGAGTTTTTTACGATGCAGTATTTTGTGAGGAGATTTAGGCAGCATGAACTGTGGCTCATATTTTATTATTTAAGCTGCTCTACGAGCACACACGCTAGCTAGTTGGTTTTTAGATAGTTAAGAGTATTAGTTACTTAGTTAGTTAGTGTAAACTAGTATCAGTCAGGATCTGCACTGTTAGCACACAGAACTGTTAGTTTTCGCGAAGCAGGTCTGTCTTTCATATATATTCTTATAGTAGACTTCATCATATAAATTTATTTTGAACTTAGTAACAATTTCAGGGAATAAATAGAAATTTAAGATTTCATTTCTATTCTAATATTCACGTATATTAAATACAATTATATTGTTATGTATCATATATGATTTTGTAAACATTGGCCGGTGTACCAAAAACCGGTCCCCAAACAAACATTTGCAATGAATTTAAACTCACTTATGTTTGTTTCATCAAACACAAATTATATATCACACCCTCAAAATGACATATTTTGTCTCATTTGAGATGCGGCCTGCTGGTCTTATTTTAGATCAGAAATAATAACCTAGATTCTACTTGTAAAAACATTATTCTCTGCCACTCTTATCAAAATATGAAATCTAATAAGATAATTCAAGTCATATTAAATTACAACTTCTTAAAATGTGGACGAGTTAAGGTTTAACGAAGTATACCTGCAAAAGATCTTAATAATATATATTTCTAACAAGTATAATCCAATGTACTTGTTATCATCAGTAGATTAATTCAACCAGCCCATTTTATTTGGCTGCAACTGCTTATTTTAATTGGAAGACCATAGGAAGGACCTTAATCTGTTACTCCTCAATAAACAAAGTGCTTTAAAACCGGTCAGTATTTCTAAAAATAATATAAAAACTTACCAGGTCCCGAAACACCATAAACCGACCCATCAGTGAGAACTTCGTCAACCATTATGACCTACAGTGATAACCGATTAGATAAGATTAACACAACATGGGGAGGGGTGGGGGAGGGGTGGGGAGGGGTGGGGGAGGGGTGGGGAAGGGGGAAGAGGGGCTTGTCTCCCCAAATAAGTCTTAGACTGGTTCTGACTACATAGCCAGTAATATGAAGCAACTTTTATAATACATCTTGCTTTAATATGATAATTGAATGCTTAAAGGACTATATTCTAAGATCCATTAAGATATATTACACTGCTTTCTTCAGAAAGCATAAAGATGTCTGAAGGTACTGGCATTTCTGACTAAATATCAAAGCTGATATGTGGGTAGTGACTGTCTGCAACAATGACAGGGATCAACTTTGGGAGAGTTGAAAATCCAATTAAACAAAGTATCCTTGATGGTGTACTATCCTACTATGTCTATAGCTATATGAGGATATAAAAAGTTGGGTGACTTGTCTGATTCTCCATTAAAAGGGTTGGAGGATCAAAATGGAATAAATTGCTATAGCTAAGGCTTAAGCTAACGCTGTGAATGTGTTGGTTGTGTGAAATTTGAGGTAACTCTTAGCAGCTATATTGCCCATGTTTTATCATTCAACAATTTACTTTTTTTAACTGCTTCAAATTATGGTGAATAAAATTGTATGTAAAGTTTAACATTGTTGATAACATATCAGTTTTTACCTTATTGCTAACAACATGAGCATATGTTTCATTTTTTATAGAACTCTGTAGTAGTAGTAGTAGTAAACAATTCAGTTTTTGCCATAAAAGCAACCAGTTGTACTGTCCCTTTACATCCTTTCAGATGGGAAAAGAACACTACTATATAGCAACTAATTTAAGGTATGTCCAATGAACCAATGTCACCTAATATGTCACCTAATATGGCCTCCTCAACTCCTAATGATAAGAAACCTCTCACCTCTACTTCAAGGTATGGCCTTCGACACCATATCAGATCAGAAAAAACCTTTGTCAATTAAACCCTAAGTCCTAGTAGTAGACTCAATAAAAGTAGTAGACACATATCATTCAGTAAAAGTAGAAACTCCAAATATTCATAGCCCTGATGACTGTTGAGGAACCAATCAGTAATGGAATTGACAATGATGCCCCCCTGTTGTGTATCCATGTGGTGAATGCTCAAGTTGTCACTGGCCTCGATTGCGTTGAGTGTGATGGTCCCTGTGGTAAATGGTATCATACCAAGTGTTGTATGCACAAAAAAACGTTTCAAAAACTTGGGTAACACTCAGAAGTAATGTGGGTATGTAAGAATTGTAAGGCCCTAGAGAAGAAACCGGCTAAGCTTGTTAAAGTAGTAAAATGGACCAACAACATGTTCCTAGTGCTGCGGGGTAAAGTGGGCAATACCTTCATTTATGAATTAAGCAGATCAATCAACCTGTTTAATTACAAGACAGAATGGGAGAGTGTGGCATTAAGACTAGTATTCATCTTCATTCCAATGATGCTACAAAAACCATTAAAAAACTCACGGGTAAAGGATGACACCATCTATCTTGATAAAAGTCTCAAGTTGTGGAAAGCTAGTGACTTGACTGCTTCAATTATTGAAGGGCGTGAGATTCAGAATCAACTTGAGGAGGCACGTAAAGCCCAGGAGAGATCCCTTGCTACCAAGTTTGCTCAGATCATGATCCATAGCAAAGTCTCAGCAGCAATGCCGATCAGTCTCATAAATCGTCAAAGCCGTTGGATGTTGGATGTTGATGAAACGGTTATCAGACAGCTAAAGGAAAAACATCCATCTGCTATGACTGCAGAAGATAAAATTCTGATCACAGGTGATAAAGTGGCACTCGAAGAAATTATCTTTGTAGCCATTGATTCAAAATTAGTGAAAAAGGCTGCTACGCTGACATCAGGATCAGGTGGCCGAACGCTGGTAGACTCATCTTATGCTGTTGTGCTTTTAGTAAATCCCAGGAGATTGTCGATGTTCAGAAGGATGCAGGACCACTTCAAACATGTGCAAGCCACAAAGGGGGAATCTAATCAGCAATACACGCTATGGCAGAGGTTCATGATAATGAGGACGAAAGCTATTTTGTTAGTGGATGCTTCCAACAAAATAGCTCTCAATGCTTACTAAATACTTTGAGAACACCTACAGAGAACCAACATACCTACGTGGCAAACAGTGCAGTGGTGTAACGAAGGGCCCCGCTGACCCTGCTGTGCGGGGGGGGGGGGGGGGGGGGGGGGGCGCCGTCTTAGGGGGGCGCCAAATCGTCGTTTGAATGTGGGACAATTTCGAAAACTTAACTCTAGATACACACTTTTTTAGAGATTTTACCGGCATATCCTCTAAAATCACCTGATTTGTTCAATTTTAAGGGAGGGGCACCAAAAGGGGAGGGTGCACCAACAGGGGGGCGCTTTTTCGGCAGGGGGCGCTAACAGGCAACGTTACGCCACTGAAACAGTGAGGGAATGATTTAAATCAAGAGCTGTGAAGGTTTCACTCAAGGAGACAATATTGCAACTGGTGGATATGCTCTTAGCACCAAGCCACTTATTGACTGCCTGAGAAACATCATCAAGCAAGTGTGGTTTGAAGATGATAGTGCTGCTGGTGGGAAATTGGAAGCAGTGTATAAGTGGTGAAAGGAGTTGCTCCAAGTAGGACCTAAATACGGTTATTTTTCTAACCCATCTAAGAGCATTCTAGTCAGTTAAACAAATAACATCAGGTACCAGGCATCTTGGAGCAGAACTTGGCAATACAGGTGTCAAAGATCAGTACATCACAGATAAGGTTCAAGGGTGGTGTGACGACATCAAGATGTTAGCTGATATTGCAGAATCTGAACCCCAAGCAACCTACTCAGCCTACATTGCTGGCATTTAACACAGATGGAAGTTTGTTCAAAGGACTGTGCCACACATCTCTGAAGCCATGGAGCCAAAGACAAAATAAGACAAAAGCTTCTACCAAAGATGCTGGGCAAGGAGATCTCTGACTTAGAGAGAGATGTGTTAAGTTTACCAATAAAGTTGGGAGGATTGGGCATGTGTAAACCCCACGAAAAATGTCAGTACACAGCCTCCAAGCTAATCACTACTGAGCTGACAAAAGAAATAGTTGGCTAAGAGGAAGTATACACCGCATCAAGTAACTTCACCAACTCTGGAAGAAATTATTAAAAAATCAAAGAATTCCAACCTCCAAGCCAAGTATGAAGCTATAGCTGAAAGATGTGGCACCTCCTCCAAGAGAGCTCTACTAGCAGCAAGAGAAAAGATGGCTTCCAGTTGGATCAACACACTGCCACTCCAGAAGTATGGCTACACTCTGAACAAATAGGAGTTCCGTGACAGCTTCTGCCTACACTACAGCTGGTGGATACCAAACACCCCCATCACCTGCGGATGTGGAAGAACAAGTGACCTTGACCACCTTCTCACTTGCAAGCTAGGAGGCTACGCTATAATGACCCACAATCACATCAGAGGCACAATGGCCAATCTCTGGCGTGAGGTGTGTCATGATGTGAAAGTTGAACCTCAGCTACAGAAGGTAAACGAGGGTGACTATCTGAACCCCAAAACCAAGCTCGGCTTGATGTATCTGCTAGAGGAGTTGAATGAGGAGCTAGATAGTGTAGAATGTGGAAAAGGCAACTTTCACCCCAGCTGTATTTCTCACATTTGGAGGTAAGTCGAAAGAAGAGTGTAAGCAATTTGTCAACAGATTAACAGATCTCATAGCCAGAAAGAGGAAAGAGAGGTACTGTGATGTAGTAAGGCATGTGAAGATAAGATTTGCTATGCTAAGAACAACTGATCGCTCTTCGTGGGTACAGAGGAAAGGAGATTGATATCAAACATGAAATCCCTCTGACAGAACTTCATTCCTGCCCCGATGATGGAGAAAATGATGAATTTTGAAAATTCGTGTGCCAATATTTAATTGCTTAAAAGTTTTTATCGGTAGCGGTTTTTGAAATCTCTCCGTTATTGGCATAAGGAATACAAATTTGACATTTGTAAAATAACAATTAAATAGACCCTGCTTGCGGCGCGCGCTTACAGCCGCACTTAAGGATCCTATATATACAGCGAAAGCACATAGTTAGGTGAACATGCGGCTGGATCCTTATCCTTACCATGAATCATAAATTTGTTTATTGTTAAATAAAGGACGGACTTGGCGAAAGCTACTTTCAATCGCTTTGCCTGAATGTTGACGGATGTTACTCGTCTAAATTTCTTCGAAGTAGCGCGCGCCGCTTTCTTCTCGATGGCAAGTGCTACAAAATAGCGAACGCCGGGCCAAACCATTAACAATGTTCAAACTGGACGGGGTTAATATTTCGTAAATTCGCGCGAGCGAATAAATTTACGGAAGAAATTTGAATTAAACACAATTCATTATGCATTAGTCAAATCATATAAATGAAATAAATTTAAATTAAAAACTAAACTGTTGGAGGACTTCGCCGCTTCGACGCGCCGCGCAAACTAGCATTCTTGCTTCGCATCGTCGTCGATCGTTATATATTACTGGGCGGCCGGCGCTCAGCCTGTCATTCCGCCGAATCTTTATATGTTTATGAACATAATATAGCCTGGGGTCCCCAGGTTCACATGTGCATACGCGTACTGCGTGACGCGCTTGTTTCATAAGTTGAATATACAGCGGTCGCGCGCTACTGCAAGCGAGAGGGCTCTGGTTAGAGCAAGTCCCCAGGTAACGTCGATCACGTCGTTGCTCTACTTCGCAGAGCAACGATCTCGATGGATTGACATCGTTAATCAAACTAAACTGTAAACGTCGCGTAAAATAATAATATTTAAAAATTACTGCAAATTATGGTCAATGGTGCGATCAGCGATGCATTTGTCAGATCGTGCTGATTTAACGATTTGGGCTATACAACATAATTTACATTATACGAGCGAAAGCTGAGCTGCGCGGCGCAATTACAATGTACAAACTTTTGCAACGGTTATAGCGGGCAGGTGGGAAACTTACAATGTAATTTAAATCAATTAAAGGGTCGTTCGCGTTCACATATTACGTAATCACTTTTTGAATAATTTTCCACCCCCTCTCGGCCCCTCCGTGATCAGTTTTATACACAGCTATTGCGTCAAAATTACACTAGCGTAATCATTTGGAAACCCCCCTCGGCTGATTACGTATTATGTGAACGACCCCTAATATATTTTTATAAATATTTTTGAGGCACGGTATATAACGATCGTTATTTATAAAATCACTTCTGCGAAATGGAAATATTGATTATCATTATAATATGGCAAAAGTTTGAGATGATGAACTGAATTTGACCCCATCTTATTATAAAGGTATCAGTATTTTGATCTTGAGGAACAGGTAAGGAAGACGTGGAAGAATGTATTGCGAGATGCAATGGTTTGCAGAATTGGGGAATGAAATGAGTTTGTTAAATCTGACAAATTCATGGGAAAACTAAGCAGATTTTGAAGCCACTTACAAAAGTTTCAAATCAAAAATCATTTCATATTTTATAGTTAGTTCAGTTATTAGTAGCTAAAATCCACGTCATACAAGTTCTACTACGAACTTCCCTGGATTGTAATTCGACATTTTCGACTGAATTTAAGTATATACATTATACTGGATAAACTGCAAAAAGTGTGACTTTCTTCAACTTTAATAGTTTTTGACAAAATTAAACTTCACAGTAATTTTTAACTAAATTTTGTCAGAAATATAGTTGAGTTGATAAAAACAATAAAAAAATGATTAATAGTTAAGTGTTTTCTCAAAAAAAGCCACCCTTCCCAAAAATTAAATATTGTAGTCTGAAATTGACATTATTTATGGCTGAGGTAAACGTTTTAAAGACCTTCTTCAAAATTCTGCCCAGACAATCTCTTCTGAATCATCCCTAAAGCATATTATGAAAGTTTCAGGGTGATTGATCAAAAACAGTTGGAGAAAAAAGATTTTTAGACTCGATTTTCACTACGCCAGATAGAAAATTGCTTGCGCAATACAGTTACTTATGAGTGCTAACCTTTGACAAGCGATAACTTCAGCTAGGAACAAAATTTGTTGATAGGACCAAAAGCAACTGATGGAAATTACTCTTGTCTATCAAAAACAACTAAAATGATGATTTCGAAAAAAAATTTCTTGAGACCTGGCCTCTTAATTACAGCAAGCTTAAGTTCCTGAGGTAGCACCATAACAAAATAGCAATTTGTGAGAAATCAAAAATTGATAAGGACTTGAAATTTGGAATGCATAAATTCGACACCTAGTGACACAATGTGATGAAGAGTTTTTAGCAACTGCTCCTTCATAATATTTTTCATTTCTCGAAAAATTCACACTTTCTGTGGTACACCCTGTATTTATACTAAAGTTCTAAGCAACAGATAGCTAAAAATTTAACATCGCTGGTGCTCAATCTTTCTCATAAACTGAAAGTAAATCTTTGTTAAATTGAAATATTCTCCAAAACATTCAGGTACTACTTAAATTACACTTAATCAATATAAACAGGTTAATTTGCGGTCGTACGACTCGCCCTGGGTACTGCAAAGTGTTAATAGCAAATACAAGCGAGCTATAGACTGGACCATCAGTAGGTCCACGCAATACATGACCAACATTCTCCATCGATTTCTGTCCTCTCTTGCTGATAATACTTCCGTATACAGCGTTTATACAAGTTATCGTTAGAAAAAATGTTAGGGTGACAATAATTCAAAATATTTCTAAGATGACTCCTATGAACAACATCAAGTTTCTCTAAATGAATTTAAGTCCAGTGACCAAATAGTGGATCATAGTCGTTAGAGAATTTTAGCACATGTTTTTTGGTGTCCTGTTGATGAGCAATTCCCTCTCACGTTATAACCATCACAACTCAGCTTACCAAGGAGAAGAAGAAGAATTAAATTACTGTAGATGATTTATTGTGCATGATTTGTTTTGTGTGATTTCCTGTATTTACTGTATCGCATTAAAAATATGTCTCGAAATGGCTGTATTATTTACTCAGTGCACATTAAAAAAATGAGATATTACAATTGCTTAAACTAATAATATTTGATAAGTGTGCAGCATGACCACCACACAGACGCTGCAGAGCACCAAAGTCCAGACACAGAGACGTTATGATTACATTTATGGTAGGTTTTTACAAATGTTATTAAAGAATTACGATAAGCTGTTATCTTCCACCATAGATATGTTTTTCACCAATTTCGTGTATTGTTTGATAGTTGGTGACGAAGTGAGAGTCACCACTCAGTATTGACACTGTGTTAACACTGAGTGGAGACTTTTACTTCGTCACCAACTATCAAACTATATGTTCGACCCACTCATAAGAGCGAAGAAAGATTACAATTTCGTGTATTATTGATTAAGGTTTAAATCGAAAAATAACAAAATGTTTGTGAATTGTGGACCTTACAATTATTGCCGACAAAATCGGCAAAATTGTCTGTAAACCTTTCCAAAGAATGCTAACTATACTTCCATCTCGATTCTAAGTTATATCCTGCCTCACAGTTCACACGAAGATAACCTCTTTTTACTTAATTAATTACTGAATATTACTTAATTAATAACTGAATGGGAACTGAATATTACTTAATTGATAACTGAATATTACTTAATTAATTACTGAATATTACTTAATTAATTACTGAATATTACTTAATTAATTACTGAATATTACTTAATTAATTACTGAATATTACAGATCCACTCTTTACACTGTCCAGCAACAGAGACCACGCTAGAGAGAGATATAAAGCTTACATTGCTCCAGATCGAGTGGTTAGATTCTTTTTAACATGATTGTAAACAGGGGATTTGTTGGAATCACGTTAGTAGGTTCTCTTTCACAAATACCAAAATCTCGGGGTCGTCTGTCTGTTTGTCTGTCTGTTTGCTGATGAAAGGCTGCTTTTTCAGAAAAAGGTACCTCACTACGGACCCATGTTCTCGGGGCTGAATCACTTTCCGAACCAACAAATACAGATCGACTCATGTGATCCAGTTCCTACGTTCATGTCCAGAAAATGGCAAGGCTACCAAACCAAACAACAAGTTCACATGAGCACTGTGGTAAGCTACTCAAGTAAACTGTAAAGTATTATATTAATGTAAATGATTACTATTTCATTAAACAATTATATTATTACGTTCGAACAAAATAAAATAAATGTTCTGAGCAGTGAGCAACCGTATTAATGTAAGTTGGGCAATTATTTTATTCAAAAACTTGAGAGGGTTTAATCGTTTACAAAGGAAGTCATCTGATTGTAAATTCTCAACTTCCATATATATGTACTTAAACAATCATGAGACTAATAAACAGCGAACTACTCCGTTATTTGGTACTTAAACAAGTAAAACAGCTAACCCCCACACCCCTCCCCCTCCCTCACACCCCTCCCCCTCCCCCACCTAAACTAACAACCCCCTCCCCCCACCTGAACTAACATCCCCCAGAACCCCCACCTAGCGGTGTCAGGAGGTGACCGGTACAAGTACTCACGGCGCCCCATCATCCCGTTCCTCCAACAAGTTCCGCCGGATGTGCTGCTCCAGACAACACGCGTGGACCCCACAATGCCGCCCCCCGAGCAGCAACAAAGCAGGCCTCCTACTCCTCTAACTTGGACTGTGGGCGTGCAGACCATGTACAGGGAGAGTGAGGCACAGACTGGTTAGTTCTGTTCTTTATCACAATGTACAGGGAGAGTGAGGCACAGACTGGTTAGTTCTGTTCTTTATCACAATGTACAGGGAGAGTGAGGCACAGACTGGTTAGTTCTGTTCTTTATCACAATGTACAGGGAGAGTGAGGCACAGACTGGTTAGTTCTGTTCTTTATCACAATGTACATGGAGAGTGAGGCACAGACTGGTTAGTTCTGTTATTTATCACAATGTACAGGGAGAGTGAGGCACAGACTGGTTAGTTCTGTTCTTTATCACAATGTACAGGGAGAGTGAGGCACAGACTGGTTAGTTCTGTTCTTTGTCACAATGTACAGGGAGAGTGAGGCACAGACTGGTTAGTTCTGTTCTTTATCACAATGTACAGGGAGAGTGAGGCACAGACTGGTTAGTTCTGTTATTTATCACTATGTACCGGGAGAGTGAGGCACAGACTGGTTAGTTCTGTTCTTTATCACAATGTAGAGGGAGAGTGAGGCACAGACTGGTTAGTTCTGTTCTTTATCACAATGTACAGGGAGAGTGAGGCACAGACTGGTTAGTTCTGTTCTTTATCACAATGTACAGGGAGAGTGAGGCACAGACTGGTTAGTTCTGTTCTTTATCACAATGTACAGGGAGAGTGAGGCACAGACTGGTTAGTTCTGTTCTTTATCACAATGTACAGGGAGAGTGAGGCACAGACTGGTTAGTTCTGTTCTTTATCACAATGTACAGGGAGAGTGAGGCACAGACTGGTTAGTTCTGTTCTTTATCACAATGTACAGGGAGAGTGAGGCACAGACTGGTTAGTTCTGTTCTTTATCACAATGTACAGGGAGAGTGAGGCACAGACTGGTTAGTTCTGTTCTTTATCACAATGTACAGGGAGAGTGAGGCACAGACTGGTTAGTTCTGTTCTTTATCACAATGTACAGGGAGAGTGAGGCACAGACTGGTTAGTTCTGTTCTTTATCACAATGTACAGGGAGAGTGAGGCACAGACTGGTTAGTTCTGTTCTTTATCACAATGTACAGGGAGAGTGAGGCACAGACTGGTTAGTTCTGTTCTTTATCACAATGTAGAGGGAGAGTGAGGCACAGACTGGTTAGTTCTGTTCTTTATCACAATGTACAGGGAGAGTGAGGCACAGACTGGTTAGTTCTGTTCTTTATCACAATGTAGAGGGAGAGTGAGGCACAGACTGGTTAGTTCTGTTCTTTATCACAATGTACAGGGAGAGTGAGGCACAGACTGGTTAGTTCTGTTCTTTATCACAATGTACAGGGAGAGTGAGGCACAGACTGGTTAGTTCTGTTCTTTATCACAATGTACAGGGAGAGTGAGGCACAGACTGGTTAGTTCTGTTCTTTATCACAATGTACAGGGAGAGTGAGGCACAGACTGGTTAGTTCTGTTCTTTATCACAATGTACAGGGAGAGTGAGGCACAGACTGGTTAGTTCTGTTCTTTATCACAGTGTACAGGGAGAGTGAGGCACAGACTGGTTAGTTCTGTTCTTTATCACAATGTACAGGGAGAGTGAGGCACAGACTGGTTAGTTCTGTTCTTTATCACAATGTACAGGGAGAGTGAGGCACAGACTGGTTAGTTCTGTTCTTTATCACAATGTACAGGGAGAGTGAGGCACAGACTGGTTAGTTCTGTTCTTTATCACAATGTACAGGGAGAGTGAGGCACAGACTGGTTAGTTCTGTTCTTTATCACAATGTACAGGGAGAGTGAGGCACAGACTGGTTAGTTCTGTTCTTTATCACAATGTACAGGGAGAGTGAGGCACAGACTGGTTAGTTCTGTTCTTTATCACAATGTACAGGGAGAGTGAGGCACAGACTGGTTAGTTCTGTTCTTTATCACAGTGTACAGGGAGAGTGAGGCACAGACTGGTTAGTTCTGTTCTTTATCACAATGTACAGGGAGAGTGAGGCACAGTCTGGTTAGTTCTGTTCTTTATCACAATGTACAGGGAGAGTGAGGCACAGACTGGTTAGTTCTGTTCTTTATCACAATGTACAGGGAGAGTGAGGCACAGACTGGTTAGTTCTGTTCTTTATCACAATGTACAGGGAGAGTGAGGCACAGACTGGTTAGTTCTGTTCTTTATCACAATGTACAGGGAGAGTGAGGCACAGACTGGTTAGTTCTGTTCTTTATCACAATGTACAGGGAGAGTGAGGCACAGACTGGTTAGTTCTGTTCTTTATCACAATGTACAAGGAGAGTGAGGCACATACTGGTTAGTTCTGGTCTTTATCACAATGTACAGGGAGAGTGAGGCACAGACTGGTTAGTTCTGTTCTTTATCACAATGTACAGGGAGAGTGAGGCACAGACTGGTTAGTTCTCTTCTTTATCACAATGTAGAGGGAGAGTGAGGCACAGACTGGTTAGTTCTGTCCTTTATCACAATGTAGAGGGAGAGTGAGGCACAGACTGGTTAGTTCTGTTCTTTATCACAATGTACAGGGAGAGTGAGGCACAGACTGGTTAGTTCTGTTCTTTATCACAATGTAGAGGGAGAGCGAGGCACAGACTGGTTAGTTCTGTTCTTTATCACAATGTACAGGGAGAGTGAGGCACAGACTGGTTAGTTCTGTTCTTTATCACAATGTACAGGGAGAGTGAGGCACAGACTGGTTAGTTCTGTTCTTTATCACAATGTACAGGGAGAGTGAGGCACAGACTGGTTAGTTCTGTTCTTTATCACAATGTACAGGGAGAGTGAGGCACAGACTGGTTAGTTCTGTTCTTTATCACAATGTACAGGGAGAGTGAGGCACAGACTGGTTAGTTCTGTTCTTTATAACAATGTACAGGGAGAGTGAGGCACAGACTGGTTAGTTCTGTTCTTTATCACAATGTACAGGGAGAGTGAGGCACAGACTGGTTAGTTCTGTTCTTTATCACAATGTACAGGGAGAGTGAGGCACAGACTGGTTAGTTCTGTTCTTTATCACAATGTAGAGGGAGAGTGAGGCACAGACTGGTTAGTTCTGTTCTTTATCACAATGTACAGGGAGAGTGAGGCACAGACTGGTTAGTTCTGTTCTTTATCACAATGTACAGGGAGAGTGAGGCACAGACTGGTTAGTTCTGTTCTTTATCACAATGTACAGGGAGAGTGAGGCACAGACTGGTTAGTTCTGTTCTTTATCACAGTGTACAGGGAGAGTGAGGCACAGACTGGTTAGTTCTGTTCTTTATCACAATGTACAGGGAGAGTGAGGCACAGACTGGTTAGTTCTGTTCTTTATCACAATGTACAGGGAGAGTGAGGCACAGACTGGTTAGTTCTGTTCTTTATCACAATGTACAGGGAGAGTGAGGCACAGACTGGTTAGTTCTGTTCTTTATCACAATGTACAGGGAGAGTGAGGCACAGACTGGTTAGTTCTGTTCTTTATCACAATGTAGAGGGAGAGTGAGGCACAGACTGGTTAGTTCTGTTCTTTATCACAATGTACAGGGAGAGTGAGGCACAGACTGGTTAGTTCTGTTCTTTATCACAATGTACAGGGAGAGTGAGGCACAGACTGGTTAGTTCTGTTCTTTATCACAATGTACAGGGAGAGTGAGGCACAGACTGGTTAGTTCTGTTCTTTATCACAATGTACAGGGAGAGTGAGGCACAGACTGGTTAGTTCTGTTCTTTATCACAATGTACAGGGAGAGTGAGGCACAGACTGGTTAGTTCTGTTCTTTATCACAATGTACAGGGAGAGTGAGGCACAGACTGGTTAGTTCTGTTCTTTATCACAATGTACAGGGAGAGTGAGGCACAGACTGGTTAGTTCTGTTCTTTATCACAATGTACAGGGAGAGTGAGGCACAGACTGGTTAGTTCTGTTCTTTATCACAATGTACAGGGAGAGTGAGGCACAGACTGGTTAGTTCTGTTCTTTATCACAATGTACAGGGAGAGTGAGGCACAGACTGGTTAGTTCTGTTCTTTATCACAATGTACAGGGAGAGTGAGGCACAGACTGGTTAGTTCTGTTCTTTATCACAATGTACAGGGAGAGTGAGGCACAGACTGGTTAGTTCTGTTCTTTATCACAATGTACAGGGAGAGTGAGGCACAGACTGGTTAGTTCTGTTCTTTATCACAATGTACAGGGAGAGTGAGGCACAGACTGGTTAGTTCTGTTCTTTATCACAATGTACAGGGAGAGTGAGGCACAGACTGGTTAGTTCTGTTCTTTATCACAATGTACAGGGAGAGTGAGGCACAGACTGGTTAGTTCTGTTCTTTATCACAATGTACAGGGAGAGTGAGGCACAGACTGGTTAGTTCTGTTCTTTATCACAATGTACAGGGAGAGTGAGGCACAGACTGGTTAGTTCTGTTCTTTATCACAATGTACAGGGAGAGTGAGGCACAGACTGGTTAGTTCTGTTCTTTATCACAATGTACAGGGAGAGTGAGGCACAGACTGGTTAGTTCTGTTCTTTATCACAATGTACAGGGAGAGTGAGGCACAGACTGGTTAGTTCTGTTCTTTATCACAATGTACAGGGAGAGTGAGGCACAGACTGGTTAGTTCTGTTCTTTATCACAATGTACAGGGAGAGTGAGGCACAGACTGGTTAGTTCTGTTCTTTATCACAATGTACAGGGAGAGTGAGGCACAGACTGGTTAGTTCTGTTCTTTATCACAATGTACAGGGAGAGTGAGGCACAGACTGGTTAGTTCTGTTCTTTATCACAATGTACCGGGAGAGTGAGGCACAGACTGGTTAGTTCTGTTCTTTATCACAATGTACAGGGAGAGTGAGGCACAGACTGGTTAGTTCTGTTATTTATTACAATGTAGAGGGAGAGTGAGGCACAGACTGGTTAGTTCTGTTCTTTATCACAATGTAGAGGGAGAGTGAGGCACAGACTGGTTAGTTCTGTTCTTTATCACAATGTACAGGGAGAGTGAGGCACAGACTGGTTAGTTCTGTTCTTTATCACAATGTACAGGGAGAGTGAGGCACAGACTGGTTAGTTCTGTTCTTTATCACAATGTACAGGGAGAGTGAGGCACAGACTGGTTAGTTCTGTTCTTTATCACAATGTACAGGGAGAGTGAGGCACAGACTGGTTAGTTCTGTTCTTTATCACAATGTAGAGGGAGAGTGAGGCACAGACTGGTTAGTTCTGTTCTTTATCACAATGTACAGGGAGAGTGAGGCACAGACTGGTTAGTTCTGTTCTTTATCACAATGTACAGGGAGAGTGAGGCACAGACTGGTTAGTTCTGTTCTTTATCACAATGTACAGGGAGAGTGAGGCACAGACTGGTTAGTTCTGTTCTTTATCACAATGTACAGGGAGAGTGAGGCACAGACTGGTTAGTTCTGTTCTTTATCACAATGTACAGGGAGAGTGAGGCACAGACTGGTTAGTTCTGTTCTTTATCACAATGTACAGGGAGAGTGAGGCACAGACTGGTTAGTTCTGTTCTTTATCACAATGTACAGGGAGAGTGAGGCACAGACTGGTTAGTTCTGTTCTTTATCACAATGTACAGGGAGAGTGAGGCACAGACTGGTTAGTTCTGTTCTTTATCACAATGTACAGGGAGAGTGAGGCACAGACTGGTTAGTTCTGTTCTTTATCACAATGTACAGGGAGAGTGAGGCACAGACTGGTTAGTTCTGTTCTTTATCACAATGTACAGGGAGAGTGAGGCACAGACTGGTTAGTTCTGTTCTTTATCACAATGTACAGGGAGAGTGAGGCACAGACTGGTTAGTTCTGTTCTTTATCACAATGTACAGGGAGAGTGAGGCACAGACTGGTTAGTTATGTTCTTTATCACAATGTACAGGGAGAGTGAGGCACAGACTGGTTAGTTCTGTTCTTTATCACAATGTACAGGGAGAGTGAGGCACAGACTGGTTAGTTCTGTTCTTTATCACAATGTACAGGGAGAGTGAGGCACAGACTGGTTAGTTCTGTTCTTTATCACAATGTACAGGGAGAGTGAGGCACAGACTGGTTAGTTCTGTTCTTTATCACAATGTACAGGGAGAGTGAGGCACAGACTGGTTAGTTCTGTTCTTTATCACAATGTACAGGGAGAGTGAGGCACAGACTGGTTAGTTCTGTTCTTTATCACAATGTACAGGGAGAGTGAGGCACAGACTGGTTAGTTCTGTTCTTTATCACAATGTACAGGGAGAGTGAGGCACAGACTGGTTAGTTCTGTTCTTTATCACAATGTACAGGGAGAGTGAGGCACAGACTGGTTAGTTCTGCTCTTTATCACAATGTACAGGGAGAGTGAGGCACAGACTGGTTAGTTCTGTTCTTTATCACAATGTACAGGGAGAGTGAGGCACAGACTGGTTAGTTCTGTTCTTTATCACAATGTACAGGGAGAGTGAGGCACATACTGGTTAGTTCTGTTCTTTATCACAATGTACAGGGAGAGTGAGGCACAGACTGGTTAGTTCTGTTCTTTATCACAATGTACAGGGAGAGTGAGGCACAGACTGGTTAGTTCTGTTCTTTATCACAATGTACAGGGAGAGTGAGGCACAGACTGGTTAGTTCTGTTCTTTATCACAATGTACAGGGAGAGTGAGGCACAGACTGGTTAGTTCTGTTCTTTATCACAATGTACAGGGAGAGTGAGGCACAGACTGGTTAGTTCTGTTCTTTATCACAATGTACAGGGAGAGTGAGGCACAGACTGGTTAGTTCTGTTCTTTATCACAATGTAGAGGGAGAGTGAGGCACAGACTGGTTAGTTCTGTTCTTTATCACAATGTACAGGGAGAGTGAGGCACAGACTGGTTAGTTCTGTTCTTTATCACAATGTACAGGGAGAGTGAGGCACAGACTGGTTAGTTCTGTTCTTTATCACAATGTACAGGGAGAGTGAGGCACAGACTGGTTAGTTCTGTTCTTTATCACAATGTACAGGGAGAGTGAGGCACAGACTGGTTAGTTCTGTTCTTTATCACAATGTACAGGAGAGTGAGGCACAGACTGGTTAGTTCTCTTCTTTATCACAATGTACAGGGAGAGTGAGGCACAGACTGGTTAGTTCTGTTCTTTATCACAATGTACAGGGAGAGTGAGGCACAGACTGGTTAGTTCTGTTCTTTATCACAGGATTAAGAAATTACTCTTTTCTTTGCATGACAGTTATCATCTTATTGACCCTAATTAACAAGAGCTAATTTAAATTATGAAAACTTTGTTTCAATTAATGAACAATGAACGACTTACTTTGAGGAAGGAACTAATCTGATATCACGTGACCCGCAGAACCGTACACACCGGAATATGTTACGGAGAAAGGTACAGTTCCGGAACTGCTGACTTTAGCTTCACTCTCGTATACACGAGGTCTTCCTGCGGGACTTGCGGAGGTGGAGATGATTGAGAGAGCGAGGGAGAAACGAGCCTGGTACGTATTTCATTTCCACCAATTCTTATTTTCTTGATAGATTCTCACCTCTGAACTTGAAAACTGTTGAAATATTCTCATTAGTCTGCAAATTTTCCAAATGAACTTATCTTCTAAAACTGATAAAACTATCGCAACCAAACATCGGTGTTCGACCTACAAATGATGAGGTCGCTGTTTCTCATTGTAATGATTACGATAGACTATAACGAGTTTCCTGGTATAAGTGCACTATCGTACTGATGGACTTGACTAAACTTCCTATCTCTATAGAAACCAATATTTCATAAGTAGTCACGTGATCACTTAATAGCCAATAATACGTACCTTGTTCCTTGTCTACTATATTAGTCAGTCGTTTATCTGAAATTTTAGGACTAAAGTTATCATTTAGATCACTACATGAGTACTCTGAACATTTGTGCTATCTTATTTGCTAGTTCGCAAGACTTGGTTACGTAGTATTGTTTATTTTACGTAAAACTACTTAACTTACCTTTTGCTAAATATAACTTTGATAAAATGGGTTTAACTCCAAAATTTATATAAGAAAGTCATTTAAGTATTTATATTGGATAACTCGTGGTCGGACTGCACTGTTTTATTTGGCACAAAAATGTATTGGGTTGTTTTCTTGCAGTTTTAATTTAAAGGTCTTATCTGCTCCTTATATAATAGGCAATATAATGGTCATTTCTCGTTTTTAATTTAGAAGAAACAGTTAGTTCTTCATGTGAACCATCCCAAACTGTATAAATCCTATAATTTCATTGCTAAGGAGCTAAACAGTAAACAGTAAACAGTAACATTTGTTAGCTATTTGGTCGCCGTACGACAAACACTGATCTTCCTATTTTACATGACGTCACTTTGAGTCCTTACTTTCACTCTCACTTTATCTGTTAGGGAGAAGACGCTTCCTCCAGTTGACGACGTATCTCAACTATCTAAACGTAGAGCAATGATGGAGGAGCTGGAGAGAAAGGAGTGGGTCATTAGGGAGAGGGAAATTGAGAAACTTCAGCAAGTCAGATTACAGGTGGGTGAGGGGCGTAACTAGAGACCGGGGGTTGAGGGGCGTGGTTAGAGACCGGGGGTTGAGAGGCGTGGTAAGAGACCGGGGGTTGATGGGCGTGGCTAGAGACCGGAGGTTGAGGGGCGTGGTTAGAGACCGGGGGTTGAGGGGCGTGGTTAGAGGCCGGGGGTTGAGGATCGTAACTAGAGACCGGAGGTTGAAGGGCGTGGCAAGAGACCGGGGGTTGAGGGACTAAATGAGAAATTCAGTATTAAGTAGATAAACTGCTGTCTTACCTTCTCTATTATTTTTATACAGGTTTTAAAGCAGATTTTAGAGAAACGTGAGGAAGATAATAACGGCACAAACACTGAACGACTCAATGCTATTTGGTGAGAACACTTTTCTGGTTCGGGCATTTGGTGTATTACTAATTCATGTTTGTTATCTTTTAAGTTCCATGCTTCAGTGTCGAGGTAGTACATATTTATATATCCCATGAAATTATTGGAGTATCGATTATAGCCTAATATAATCATTCAAGCACATAATCAATTAATCATTTGATCAGAATATTTGTTAGCTTTATATTTGTTACAGGTCTAAAAAGCAGGTGGCTAAGGATGCGAAATTCAAGAAGATGAGAACGGAGAACATCAAGGCCCTCAGAAAGCTAGCTTCGGAGAGGGAAAAGGTCGAGGGTAAACTTTCTCGAAGAAATGTTGTGTCTGACTATTCCTCTTTCGCTTCTCAGGTACGAGCTACACGTATACAGTACAGACAATCAAACTTAAACATTGTTATTTCCTCCTTGATAGAAATGATAGAATTTCGTGAATTAGGTGAGAGTTGATTTTCTGTATAAACGGTTTCCATAATTCACACCATGAGGAATAGTAAAGTTATTTCTAAATGACAAGTGATACTACTACTACTATACACAACAATGGTTTGTCTTGGTCTCACCTTATATCCTGTGCAGTATAATGATGACGTCACGTGATATCATAATGACGTCACGTGATATTGTGTTTACCTTGTATCCTGCGCAGGTCTATGCTCCACAAACTCGTGTCGGAGTATTTCTGGATAGAGGATCTGAGCTTTACAATGTGAAGAATAGATATCTCAACACATACGAGGGTACGTCATCTCTTGGAGACTTTTTAGAATTTTTAATGAACGTTCCATTTGGATTACAATTTCCTTTTTGATTGATGACATAATCATCACCAAATTAGAACATGGATCAGTAAACTGTACATGTAGGCGGTCTGTGGCGAACTACTATATCGTAATAATGGTAACTTTAAAGTCACACGTGACAGATAATAACAATCAGGAGAATCCCCCTTGCTGTCGCTTATCTAACAAGTAATTTTGCAGGCTTACTGGAACTAGAGAACTCGCTGCCAGACTATGTCACTCAGCCACGGATCAAGCTTCCTAACCTTATCTCTGGAAAGGGTGGTGCTAAGAAACGATTTGAGGTACGGATAATTCAGAACTTCCTGTATAATACTGTATACTGTATACCTTCCTATACAGTATTAAATTTCAATCAATTTAGGGTGATACATCAAGAAGCAGGTGATTTTCGTGACTGGGTCATCTTAATGATTGGAATTCCGTGCTATCCTACCAATCAGTGTATCTTCCTTCAATATCACTGAGAATATGTTCTCACAATATGTGAACTATCAGTTTCAATTGCATTCTATTATCTTCAGAAACGTTTGAAGGAGCTTGATGATACAGCAGAGTTGATAAAGTTAGAAAAGGAGAAACAATTCGAGGTTCCTGCACCTCCCAGGTTCCTACAGAAGGTGGTCCGACCTCCACCTCGACCTCCCACGCCGAGTGTCGATACTCCTTCCGAGGTATGTTTTACTGTGTCTGTTGTGTGGCTTTTATTAATAAGTTACTTGAGATATTAATTAATTTGCTTCGTTCAGTGAAAAACTCGATAGCTTTAAAGAGTAAAAGTGTGCACAAACTATCTACTCCTTAATAAGTCTGGTGGATTATTGTATATAGAACTCACTGCTATATATAGAACTCACTGCAACTGAAGGCTAAAACCTGGCTTCTCCCACTACGTCTGTGATTCCAATTCATTTTCAGGAGGATGAGAGGAGAGAACTAGCCATCATATTCCTACAACAACTACTTCGTGGAAGAGCTATTCAGAACATGGTATATTTAAAATTTTGTTTAATAAAACAAAATTTAAATTGGTATCAGAGTTTTCATGCGCGGCTTTCCTATTGCTAGTTTTTCGTATTGTTTCCATAGAAACGAGCGCTGAAAGATATGTAAATTTCGATTGCTCGCATTCCGGTTGCGCGGCTGAAAAGATGTCAAAATCCAGGTTTATCCGGTTTATCACAATGCTTATTCCAGATGCAAGAAGGTAAAGAGAAGAGAATGGAACTTATCAACGAGCTTAGATCAACTGAAGCTCTGAAGCCCGAAGCAGAGAAACTGAACAAGGACTCTAAGAAAGCAGCACGAGCAGTGCAACGAAAACAGCGCATGATGCATCACAAGGTTTGTTGTTTGTTCCATTTAAGAGTGTCGGCCGATAAAGGTTAACATAGCAGTGGAACTACAGAAAAAGTACAATACAAGTGTATCATAAATATCATGTTTGAATAAATAAATTTCGAATCAAAAATAAATACGAGCTTTATTGATTACTTGATGTACGTCAGCTTAACTTTAGATTGGAGCTCCTGTACTGATTGGGAAATATCGAGAAAAATGAAATTTTATTTGCATCAAACATCCGATTTAAAAATCCCTTGTGCAGGAGAACCTGGCTAACGAAATGTTGGAGGGTATGGGAGGTAAGAATATTGGTCAGATGGCAGACTTCTTGAGCAAGGAGTTGGTTAGACTCCAGGAGGAACAGAGAATCCACGCCTTTGCTTTATTGGCAGAGAGGAAGAGGAGGATGAGGGAGGCGGAGGAGAGTGGTAAACGGTGTGTACTCACTACTAATAAAACAAAAGTTAATAAAACAAAAGTTAAATTTATTACCAATTATTCAATCAATACATATCATAAATTCTAATATTGGAAACACAATGCAAAATGGATGTCTTAAACTATAATTTCATTGTGACTAATAATCTATTGACTTTCAAAGTTGAATTTTAGTTAAGTATGAAATGCCACCACATCATAGTTAGGGTAAAATGGGTACTCATTGACTTATTTTAAAATTATATGTAATAAGTTAATCACTTATTGATTGATGAAACAGTTATTTTTCGATGAAACAGTTATTTTTTATCAATTTTGTGGACTCGTAGTTAAAAGTCATAAGCTATCGATCAATTCAATTTGTTGATTCTGACTTCATCGAAGGAACATCACACCAAAAAGTTAGATTGTTAGTTTGACGTTCCAAAGGTTTGAATCGAAACTATCAATGCTCTGTTATAATTATACATTACATTGCACAATAAAACGAACGGGTTTTAACTGCAGACAAGTTGAAGAAAGAAGAAGAGTGGAGGAGGATGAGATCTGGAGACACATGTGTAATTGTCACCAGGGCACAATGGAGACTTATCTAGAGGACATCATCGTGAGGAGTGTGGACAGGACTGCTGACGAACAGGTTAGGGTCACGTGATGAGACATTAGTTTTCATATGTTGCTCAGCAGATATTGAATATTAATAAGCATTGTCATCTATACTATCATATTCAGGGTTTCTACATACTGCTGCTATTAAATCATACGGTGTCTTAAATTTCTAATTCATTCCCTCAGGCAAGAGAAGAAATCCAGACGAAAGCAGAGAAGATCAACGAGGTTGCTTACGAGCTGGAGAGCAGGTGAGTCTGACCCCGGGACCCCCCCCCCGGCCCCCCCCCATCCACCTGCACCCCCCTGTCGCTTTATGTTTAAATATTAATAGAGCTGTATGAAACGTTCTACCATGCTGGAGGCTTCTTTTCTGCCATCCTGGATTTTAACTTGACTTTATTATACTTTTCAATAACAGATAATCTCGAACCAGGAGAGATAGATTACAATCTGAAAACATGGTAGCAGAGCTTGTTTACTCTTTCCTGCTACCGGAAACGGAAAAAGAAACGCTCAGGGAAAACGTGAAGCGGGAACAGAGACGACACATACTCGCCGCTCATTCTGTCATTCACGGCCAGACTACAGACATCGAGAAGGGTAAGTTGTCACTTCATGACACGCGGGGTGGCGTCATGACACGTGGGGTGCGGTGTCACTTCATGACACGTGGGGTGCGGTGTCACTTCATGACACGTGGGGTGGCGTCATGACACGTGGGGTGTCACTTCATGACACGTGGGGTGGCGTCATGACACGTGGGGTGTCACTTCATGACACGTGGGTGGCGTCATGACAGGTGGGGTGTCACTTCATGACACGTGGGGTGGCGTCATGACACGTGGGGTGTCACTTCATGACACGTGGGGTGGCGTCATGCCAATACAGTGTTTCAAGCCGGACGTAGTTAAATTCTAAGTAATCGCAGTCATAAATATTCCTCTACTTTATCACTCCTTTAACCGCAACATTGCAAATTAGATGAACTTTTAACGCAAATTAAATTTCAGAGGGTGAATCGAGTAAGAAGTGACGGGGAGGACGTCTTTTGCATCAGAAAAAGAATAACTGCGAAGTTTAGTTGTAGAAAAAGTGCTAACAACTGGGTACTATTAGATAGGGACTAAAAAAGAACTGTGGAAATGTTTAATCAACAAGTTTTTACGTTTAAGATGTTTGGGTAGAACTGTAAACTTGAACTCCACCTTATTTCTAGTTTTGGTGCTTTCACCTGTGGATGATACTTGATACTGGTAACTAAATGTCGGCAGAAATTTTTAATTTTTTAAAGACTTTCACCGCCCAATTCCCATATCTCATCATGGTTGAAAAAGCTTGTAAATACGAATTTTGATGATTGCACAGTGTATCTGATGGATCCAGCGCGAACTATGTACATATGTTAATTGTAAATTAGCATGAGGCGTGACTTTATAGCTCAAATTGTTGTTTAAATTTTCAAAACCAACAATGATTCGGTATCAGGAGCTCTTGTAAAAGGAAAATTTCATTTCGTAAAACTAACTAATAAACTTTTTTGAAAACACATTAAATTAAGATAAAATAACTCGAGAAAACTTGAACAGGTAAAACTGAAATTGATTCAATCGATAAACGAAACGATTTTCTATAAAAATTCTAAAATACAAGTCGTAATCTTGTATTCTTAAGCTATCAAACACGATTATTAAGAATTGTAAACTATCTTAGTTCCAATTATACCCACACCTTCATCATCGCACTATTTCCACATCATATGGCGTAGAAACTTGATAAATCCCCATGTTATGAGCTCAAGAAAAGCAGTCTCGTATTATTCAGATTAATTTAAACTTCAAAACAGCCAATCGTTGTTTGTTTCCTCCCGAAAAGTCAAAATACTCCGAATGCGAACTTAATTCATTTGTATTATTAATTATATAATGGTAGTATAAATTACTAACATTAACACCGGATAATACCGACAGTTCTTTCAGCCAATGAATCAGAGCATTCTTTTCTAATTTCTATACATCATTGCATCGTTACTCGCCACCATATTCAACAGTCATTCAACTTTTAAATATTAGTAAACAAGTTATTAGTGCGGTATTCATCAAACAGTCAAATTTAGGATTGTTCTGTACACTAGACGGATGATGGTTAATCACTCTACACTCGACTGTCACGTGACTAGACGGTGTTTAGTATTCCGCCGCGGTAGTTCCCCATTGTCTCCGGAAAATATAGCAGGAGATACTTCTTTAAAATAAAGATTCATTAAAAATATCACGAATACTTTAGCCCTAGCCGTTAAATTACTATAGCAACAGTAACCGTATTAAAACTATAGTAACTATGTAGTAACTATAGTAACTAGAAGTAACTATGTAGTTCGCTCTGCATGAACTGGTCGCCCGATTGATCAGTAAACTGTTGTTGAGGTGAAGGAGCCATGAGTTGGGAAGTGAGTGACTGGCGGGAGGTGATATCATCACGTGACGTCATGGTATGGTGCGTGTCTAGAGGGCTAGCAGTTGAAGCCTGAGAGTAGAGCTGGTCAGAGGAGCGTGCAGGAGAAGGTGCCGGGGAAGTGCCGTGTTGGGAAGTGCCGTGTTGGGACGTGCCGTGTTGGGTTGCCGGGGCCATGTTGTGCAGACCTCCGGGAGAGTGTTGGCTAGCTGTTATCATGCTGGAAGGAGGAGCCATGCTCTGGGGAGTTGCTGTGAACAGTGGAGAGGCCACCTGAATATAGTCTAAATTATTTATTTCTTATATCATTATTATTATCAAGCTTCATCAGTCAATACAAATGGACAAAATGCAAATGTCAATCAAAAATTGAATAATCTCAGTAAATGACGTCACACCACGTGTCATGACGTCATAGCATAATGAACTCACCTGATGTTGAGAGGAAGGAGAAGACAGCATGACTTGCTGTGAAGGAGGTGTCATGGTGAGAGCTTGTTGGGAGGGAGGGGTCATGGTCAGTTCTTGTTGGGAGGGTGTGGGTGGGTAGGGTTGCTGGGGTAGAGTGGGAGTCACTGACTTAGGTGGCATTGGACTGGTTACTAGAACCTTCTGTTCGAAACTAGGTCCCTGACTAGGATCGGAGAACTGTTGGTTCTGAGAGGGCGGGTATTCAGCAGGCTGAGGAGATGGAGAGGGGTACTGAGTAGTGGGAGTAGTGGGCCCGTACTGAGTACTTTGGGTGGGAGTAGTGGGCCCGTACTGAGTTATTTGGTTGGGAGTAGTGGGCCCGTACTGAGTACTTTGGTTAGGAGTAGTGGGCCCGTACTGAGTACTTTGGTTGGGAGTAGTAGGCCCGTACTGAGTGGTTTGGTTGGGAGTAGTGGGCCCGTACTGAGTACTTTGGTTGGGAGTAGTGGGGTATTGCTGGGTACTCTGGCTCGGAGTTGGAGGGTATTGTTGAGCGCCCTGGTTTGGAGCAGAAGGATACTGGGTAGAGGTGGTGGGATAATGTAGTGGAGAGGTGAGGAAGGGTTTGGGGCTCTGCAACATCTTCTCAGGACCCTGGTAGTGATCAGGATGGTAAAACTTTTATCTTATTATTATTAATAATATTTATTGTCACGAATTATCGAGCAACTATAACTATATTTTAATGTTGCCATGGGGTGGCAAGTCCCCATACATCGTGGTCCGGTTGTTTCATTGCGTCCTAATATATAACTATATAGCCTTGTATCGTCTTGATAAAATCTTCGATTTTAAATCTAAATATTAAAGTTCCATTAATCTATATAAGTACCACTACCAGGTGGCAGGTTTAATTTAATAATCTATTATTGGGGGGGGGTCAACCTCAATTTACCTCATTTTACCTCATCCCAATTTTGCCTTTTTTGGCTGGCCTCATGAGGTAAAATGAGGTAAATCTCGGCAAAAATTTTAACAGGTAAAATTCTCTAAATCGTCAATTTAGTCACGAAGGAGTATGGAAGGAGTTCTAAATGTGTGTTCCTCTAATATAAACAGTAAGAAATGGTTAACTTTAGTCGAGGTCTCAGGTCTCTACAATGTCGGGAAGTTCCTGCAGGAATTTGCGCATTGCGCTTGAAGCGCAAGATTCACAGCGCCAAAAGCGAAGGTCGTAGAGACATGAGACCTTGACTAAAGTTAACCATTTCATACCGTTACTTTAAGAGTATGCCACTTTCAGAGTCCTGAACACACTCCCATATCTCTTAATCGTCAATTATATGAATTTTACCTGTTAAAATATATCATCTTTTACTGATATCATTTTAGTTTAACACTGTTAGTTTTTAAAAAGAAAATAATACTTCACACCAAACTAACACACAATATGAGAATATAAAAAGGAAGGTTTTCTTGGAGACCTGGACCGAGCATCAAAATAGTGTACATTGCTACTGTCATTGTCAAGACTCAAGAATAAGAGGGTCTAGTTGAGGGATTATGCTGGATAACAGATATGATAAGTGGTAACATCCTACAAAAGAATGTTAGCTTACTAAGGAATTTTCCTCTTATATTACTGAATCATACAAGAATTTAACTAAGTTCCTCCTAGTCCTAAGCATTATCTTGTTTCAGAGGGAATGAGTGATTTAAAAAGATGAGGCCGAAGAGTTAGTTGTGAAGAAGGCATCTGTACTCTGTAATTTCTAAGCTAATTTTTTTCGATATTTTTAGCTATTTACTGATCTTGTCTTGACGTATCAGCAAGAGATCACTGGACCTCGTACTTAGTTGTTAGTCATGTTATGCTGATACAGTTAGTGACGAGCTATGAAGTAATCATTCGACCTCATTTAATACTGATCCTATCAATGACGAGCTATGAAGTAATCAGTGGATCTCGTCAATGCTCATCCTGTCCGGACTGTCACTGACGAGTTATAAATGAAGACCTCATTAATTCCCTTGTTCCAAGAAGATATTCCTCTGGTAACAACCCCTTCTGGCCTGCTTCTGAACATAATATGAAGATTCGAAAACCTAGTCTACCTTAATTGGAACTTGCTGACTGCATTGGAAAATGGAGAACAATCGAGAAATGATAATCAGTGCCAGGATATAATCAAAGTTGAATTTGGAATCCAAGGAAAACCTTCCTTTTTATACTATCATATTGCAATTGTGCGTTAGTTTGGTGTGAAGTATTATGTTTTTAAAAAAAATTAACAGTGTTAAACTAAATTGATATCAGTTAAAGATGATATATTTTAGCAGGTAAAATTCATATAATTGACGATTAAGAGCTGTACTAGGAGTGTGTTCAGGACTCTGAAAGTGGCATACTCTTATAGCAATGGTATGAAATGGTTAACTTTAGTCAAGGTCTCATGTCTCTACGACCTTCGCTTTTGGTGCTGTGAATCTTGCGCTTCAGCGCAATGCGCAAATTCCTGCAGGAACTTCCCGACATTGTAGAGACCTGAAACCTCGACTAAAGTTAACCATTTCCTACTGTTTCTATTAGAGGAGCACACATTTAGAACTCCTTCCATACTCCTTCGTGACTAAATTGACGATTTAGAGAATTTTACCTGTTTAAAATTGGTGAAAAATATGGGCGTGGCCCAAGTCAGTATTATACGAAACCTTAGAGACACAAACATTTTTTTGGTTGTTCCCGACCCTATAGAGCAACTAATTAGAGGTGATATCTAATTATTTCAACGAAAGGTGGTTTTCTGAACCGCCCTTTATTCTACAGCGAAACATTGAACATGTACATAAGAACTTAGAATTGTATGAAGTATGAGTTTATATGAGTAATTTATTATGAAATGACCTTTCACTATGCAATTTCGACTAAATTCATGTAGATATCCAATCCAGTTCCATGCACAACTGTTGTTTACATTTGGTCTAGTTAGACACAATTTGTTTCAGAGTGACTCGATAATCGCAATATCAAATTAAGATATTATTTAAATGGTCCATGTCATGCAATGCGGAAATATCCCCATAAATTGGCAACTGCCAAAGTGACACTAAAGTTATTGCTAATTCCTTTACAAAACTTAGCAAGTGCTATTTACAATATCCTAATGGATCATGGAAATTGAAATGTTCAATTTTCTTTTCATAAATAATAATTATAATGCGAAGTTTTATTTACCCCAAGTTTGGAGAGTAAGTAGGTTAAACTGGGAATGCCCCTTCCCAGGGACCACATCACCCCTAATAAACGATTAAATATCATGGGAGACCATGCACAGCCTCGAATTATAGTACAATGACTTCGAATAAACCTTTTTTGTCTCTAAAAAAAGGCTTAGAAAACTAGATTTATTTACCTCATTTTACCTCATTTTACCTCATCCCAATTTTGCCTTTTTTGGCTGGCCTCATGAGGTAAAATGAGGTTGACCCCCCCCCCATTATTAGTTGTTTGATATTTAAACTGATGGACCACCAGTAGACCTGGCAATACCTCACCTGTCCCAGTAGTAAGGTAGCCATTTCTGAGCGAATGGTGTTCCTGACCATAGCCTCTATTTGAGGCATCATGTTATTCATAGAGGTC